GAACATTCCCCGTCGTATCGAAGAGAACCCAACCCCCTGCCGAGTGAGACCCCTTCCTAGTAGCCCCATCCCAATGGCACACAATCCCAACAGCGGGGTTGAACAGTCCAGATTGACTAATTTCGGGGAGAGGAGGTTGGGGGGGAGCCTCCCTCGGTAATCCCACCCATTCCTCAACCTGCTGGGAAAGCTGACGCATTAAAGCCGGGAACGCATACTGCTTGCCTTCAAAGACCACCCAATTCCGAGATCTCCAGATACGCCAAAGGACGGAGACAACTCGCATAAGCAATTGGGGCTCCGAGACCAAGGCCAATAACTTCTTCAGGAACAGAGGGAAAGTATGTCGAGGTAACCCCTCTCCTAAATACTGGTACCCTGAATATCCCCAAAGCGCACGCGCAACCGGACAATCGAGAAACAAATGCTCCATGGTTTCCGTTCCACCCCAACAAACCGGGCACCGAGGATGAACAGGGATATTTCTCTCAATGAGGGCCTCCGTAGTGGGAAGGATCCGGTTCAGGAGCTGCCAAACAAACACTTTAAGCTTAGGGGGGAGATTAGCGTCCCACAAACGGATCCAACTGGCCTTATCCATCCAGCTCACAGACGACTTCCACCGACCTCTCCTCATATCGAGAGAGACAACCAAGTGGTAAGCTGACTTAACCGAAAACACCCCATCCCGGGTATTATGCCAGATCAAACGATCCTCCAGGTTCTGACGCGGCAAAGGAATAGTCTTTATGATACGACAAGTAGGGGGGTCAAACCATTGACTGAGTTTGGACTCACACCACCGACCCTCCCCTTGGCAAATCACCTCAGCCACAGTAGCCCCCCCCCCCCCTCCGGTAGTACTAAAGGGTTATATCGTGGAGGATCAAGTTGCATTTGAGGGATCCATGGGGATCGAAGCAGAGACGCCGACCGCCCATTCCCAATTTGCCACCTGAGACCCATCTCAAGCAAATTTCGCCCATACAAGACGCTCTGCCACCCCCAAGACGGGCGAGACCGAGCTTTAGCAGAGAGAAAATGCCCGGAAGGGAAATACTTACCCTTATAGACTTGGGCCAGCAGGGAATTAGGTTCCATAATTATACGCCATTCTATCTTGGCGAGCAGAGCCTGATTGAAATGCTCAAACCGACGAAACCCCAACCCTCCCTCATGTTTGCTCCTACACATATCCCTCCAGGCCATCCACCGCACTCGAGCATGTCCCTCATTGTCACCCCACCAAAAGCGAGCCACATGTTTGTCCAAAAGGCGACACAACGAGAGAGGTAATTTAAAGCAGGACATCACATGCAGCGGCAATGCCAAAGCAATAGACTTAATAAGAGTCTCCTTAGCTGCCCAAGACAAAGTCCGTTACTTCCACCCCTGAAGCCTAGCCAAAAGCTTTTCCTCCAAATACCGAAAAGTCTCCATTTTAGAACGCGCAATCAGAGTTGGGAGTCCCAGATATTTATCACACACCCCTACCGCCCCAACGCCCAAGATCGCAGCTAGGAACTCCTGGTCAGGTAAAGTAATATTCTTACTGAAACAAACCGCCGATTTAGCCAGGTTGACCCGCTGACCTCTCAGTTCCTCGTATTCATTCAAAACCTCAATCAGATTCTCACATTCCTGGAGGGTACCACGCAGGAATAGGTAAGAATCATCTGCAAAGAACAAATGCGAGATTCGGGGGGCACACGGACAGTGGCGTAGCCAGGATTTCGTTTAAGATGGGTCCACCTAGAAAAAAATACACATGATAAAATAGTTTTATTAATATAATCTTGAATTGAAATTTTTTGTTAAATTAGAATGCATTAGTAGTAAAAAATATCAAGAATATCATTATGCGTACCAAAAAATTATTGATTTAGTTAGTCGTACACTCGTACTGTTTCAAATGGTGTTCTTTGTCAAGAACCGTTAGTATCAATAAATCGAGTTATTGATAGAGGTTTAATAATAAATCCTACACCAATCAATAATTCATGATTTAGCTTTCGAATAATGTTCTTTGAAAAAAAACATTTAGTATCAACAAATCGAGTTGTTGGAAGAGATTCAATAATATATATGATACCATTTACTACCATGCTCCCTCATAAAAAAATCAACTTAAATTGAAGTTTGCACAAATATGTATACCGTATTAGATTCAAACACAAAACTACTATTATCAATTAAATGTGACCTAATTTTCAATATCAATTAATTATCATACCTAATTTAACCATTTTCCTCTCGAACCAGGGTGGGTCCCGGGACCCACCTCTTACCCTCTCCCTCCGCCACTGCACGCGGAGCAACTTTGACCCCAGCCAACCGATTATCCGAGATTGCCTTTTTCAAAAGAGCTGCAAATCCCTCTGTGCATAGCACAAACAAGAGGGGAGATGAAGGATCACCTTGACGCAAACCCCTGGTAGGCATGAAATATCCAGCCGGAGTACCGTTCATCAGAACTGAAAAGGAGGAAGAGCGGAGGCATTCATGAATCCAACCTCGCCATACCGAATTGAAGCCCATCTTATCCAAAAGCGCAAGAAGAAACGACCATTCGACTCTATCATAGGCATTTTCCATGTCAACCTTAAGAGCCATGTACCCTTTCTTCCCTTGGTTTTTGATTTTCAAGTAATGCATCAACTCGTGGCCAAGGAGGATATTCTCAACAATTTGCCGCTCTCTAATGAACGCATTCTGTCCCTCCAAAACAATTCGTGGTAAGAGACATGCTAATCGCTCAGCCATAATTTTCGCTATAACTTTATACACGAATTGACAAAGACTGATTGGGCGTAACTGCGTCATAGATTCCACAATATCTACTTTAGGGATCAATGTGAGCCAGGTATGATTGAAGCTACGGAGCATTTTACTGCAGGTAAAAAACGAGCAAACTGCGTCAGTCACCGACTCACCCACAATCCCCCAGAAAGCTTGAAGAATTTACCCGTGAAACCATCCGATCCCGGAGCTTGCTTTGATCCCATAGCAAAGACAGTTCGACGAACCTCAGCTGGGAGGACAGCAGCAGTCAGTTCAGCATTCATTTCCGGGGTAACACTACGGGCAATAGGCAGAGCAGCCACCCGCTCCCCCATATTCAGGACCTGATTCTCAGTCGTAAAAAGATGGCCATAGTAAGAAGTTGCGATGTCCGCTTTCCCTTTTTCATCAGTGATCCACTCACCACTATCCTTTCTCAATCCAGGCACAAAATTTCTTTTACGTCGAGTTCGAGTCACCGTATGGAAGTACGACATATTTTTATCCCCTTTTTTTAACCAGTGAACTCTAGACTTCTGTTGCCAGTAAACTTCTTCCGCTTTCCATTGTCTAGACAACTCGATTTCGAGACGGCGGACCTCATCCCAGTCAATAGGGTGAATGAGTTTGATACGATCAATTTCACTCTGGAATGTTAGGCAACATCAAAACGCCTCATTTAAAAGATTCATATTGCTTTGCGTTTTTCTCAATTTAATCAAGTTCAGGTCATTTTAAGATAGTTTTAAAGGGTGTTTTTCATCTTATGTTTAGATGTGCCTAGACGTTAGGCAACATCAAAACGTCTCGTCTAGAGATTTCAAGGGGAGTAAGGTATCGAGAACACGACACATAAACGAAGCTAGGTGTCGACCGGATGTAATTAGGTGGAATTAGGAAGCCGATATGAAATGAGAAATTAACATCATGTACAAGCTCAATCTGCTCTCAATTTTTTCAATAGTTTAAGAACTTTGAGAGCTATGAAGCTATTATTAGATGAACTTGTAAGTTATTTTCCGTGTTTTCCATTTACTCTAAAACGGAAAAATGTCTTAAATCGCTATTTCATTCATCATGCATTACAAACTGCCATTTCTAGTTCTTGTGCAAAGATACGCGTAGGCGTAGCCTACACCTAAACAACCTTGGCACTAAGTAACACCACAACACCGACCTTACACACCTAACACCTTTCTTCAACGGGAAATTCTTGCGTCCAACCCCAGTTGGAGCTAGAGGCTCCATCCTGCCATTTGGCAGCCCCATATTGGCCAATCAACCTTCCTTTTCCCCTTATTTTAATTTTTTTATTCCTTTAACATTAATCACATTATGAAATAAAAACAGGAAGAAAAAAAAGTTTGGACAGAAACGACATGGAGACGGATGGAAGCTGGGAAGGCAACTTATGGATTATAAATTAATTAGGTTATATCTTAGGTTTATAATTTATATGTTCTTCTATACTCTATAGGAAAAAATTGGCTACAACAAAAATAAATAGAATACAAAAATTGCCTGTGCATTGGAACCAATTTTGAAATACTTATGCGTTCAAATTTTGAAATTCTTTGACAATTTCAAATTGATATGACCATTGTACAAAATACCAACAAAAAAAAAAATCTCACAATATCATAAATAATTCGACAAAAATTTGAACACCATACTTAGTATTACAGTGCCAACATAAATAGAATATTCGAATAAAAGAAACAAAGTCAATAATCCATGGCGGTTGAGACATAAATCTTTTCACAAATTTTGATCATCAAAATGAAAATTTGTTATTGCTTCATGCAAAACAGAGAAAAATTGACATTAATTTAAAATAGTAGTAAATAAAATTATAGAACATACAAACCTAAGATATGACCTAATTAAATTATAATCTATAAGTTGCCTTCCTAGCTTCCATCCGTCTCCCTGCATTTTCGAGGCTCTTTTTTTCCAGTTTTTATTTCATAATGTGATTAATGTTAAAGGAATAAAAAAATTAAAATAAGAGAAAAAGGAAGGTTGATTGGCCAATATGGGGCCGCCAAATGGCAGGTTGGAGCCTCTAGCTCCAACGGGGGTTGGACGCAAGAATTTCCCATAGAACCTTAACATTTGTATACTTATTATAGTGAGTTTTACCGCTAGCGTTTCCTACAAATAACCGGCAGGGATCTCGCCGACCAGCAACGGCTGTGCACGAGCTTAATTTCTAATTATCAAAGATTGGTCAAGGAGACGGTCAGATTGATGTAGTTCGTTTCTTCTCTGGCCATCCGATCAGAGAGAACAACACCAAACCTCCTGAAAATCTCGTCGACGACTCCAGACGGCGGACCCAATTGACGGACGAACAACGGCTCCAGCACAGCTCTCATCCCTTTCGCCACATTGCAGCCGCGATCCTGTAGGGCCTCCGGCAGGTTTGGTTCCCCGTCGTAAGCGTTCCAGCTCGACTCCCAAACCTTCAACCGATCAATCACGAAGCAGCCGTTCTCACGGACTTGATCCTTCACTTCCATGGGGGACGGCATGTAAAACGGAATGTTGAAAGAATCCCATTTCTCCTGATCGATCCGCCCCTCGGATGCCATTTGATTGAGGACAATGGAGATGAGCTCCCAAAAGTAGCAGCACTCTCTGCTCGATGGGTCCTCGCTTCGCCTCCCGAGCAATGTCAGAACCATACGCCCGCCTTGCACCAGTTCCTGTCCCCTGCACCTCAGGAACGACGAGAAGTCGCTCCGAAACTGCGCGGTGTACGCCTTCAGGACGCTCGGCGGGCTGTTTCCCGCCATGAAAATGTTTCCCCTGTTTTGGTTCAGCCCTTCAGGGACCTGAGACAGCCAGTGCAGGCTGTAGGAGGAGTGGACGAAGTGCAGGCTTTCCGCCGCGAAAAGCCGGCCGTAGAATGACCCTGGAACCCCGTTGAAGAACACCAATGATTCGGAATTAGAAGATTTGTGCAGTGACTTGAAAACCTGGTTGAAATCGTTGCCAGGGAGGTCGTTGAGGAAAACCTGAAACTCAGGGGATTTCCTGCCGAGCTCTCTGCTGACCCTTTCGGCGGCTTTGACGATTACTGACACGGGTAGAAGTGAGTTGGGTCCTGAAGCGCAGCCTAGATCGGCAATGGCCAAGCTTCTTATGGGGAACTTCCAGCTGCTTATCAGTCCTGCAATGGCTTCCTCTGTTATGGGTTGAGTCCTTGACAAGACCTTCCGCTGAAAAAATGCAAGAAGAAGAAGAAGAAGAGAACAATTAGAATCCTGAATTGGAACTTGAATTGATGTAAATGTAATGTGAATTTACCTGAAGCAAGGAGTTGTGAGCATAGCTAGTCTCTTCTTCCATCCCGGAGTTCATATGAAGCACTTGTTCCACCTTCATCTCTGGTTTTTTCTCTGTAAACTTGGAGCTCTAAGGTAGCGGATGTAGATAAGGTAGAAGTGACACTCACACACAGAAGCTTTGCTTCTTTCCTTTTTTTTTGTTTTGTTTACAAACTCTTTGACACACCACTCCCATTCCATACGTCCAATACATATATATAATTCAAATTGAAGACTTTCACTAGCCACTAGCAGCTGCAAGTGGATCCCTCCATGATAATGCAGCATTAATCTCCATGTGATATGTTTGTCTATCATAATTCATAAACATCATTTAGATTATGCATTATTATTTTGTCTTCACATATTTATTGTAGATAAGTGATAGTTGTTTTGAAAGCTAGTTCCAATTCCAACTGCCAAAGTAATGAACTTGACTTGTTATGATTGTGGTGGGCTTTGATGGTAATAATTGCAAATTACCATTTGACACCTTTTCTTGCGCTGGAGTGTATTGGCTCTGGGATCAATTTATGCAGAAGGAAAAGGAACCGTTGAATTTGCTGCTACCATAAATGGGCAGACTGAAAATGAATATGGGTTGTAGGCTGGCCCAGAAACTGCAGCCTGACGCCTGACGTTTAGGGTTTGTAACACATTTTTTTTTTCATTCTTGTTCTTACTTACCTACTTTTTCCTTATCTACATCCCTCCTCGTTTTGTCATTGTCAAACTCCAGTTGCAGCGCCAGGGAAAGAAATACTGAGTTACAAATGAAGAAGAAAAGGGTAGACGAAGCAGGATCGAACTCTGACCAATTCGCCGCCGTTGCGAAGAAGAAAAAAGGAGGAAATAAAGTGTCGTGTCAATTAGCTGCACAAATTAGTTTAGTTTATTGTTAGTCAATAACTGCGACACTTGTCACATAGATAATGGACAAGACCGTTAGTGACCGTTTTGTCCTAACTTCAGTTTTCCTTGTATACACTCTGCAGCTAGCTCAGCTGCCAGTGATTTCTAATATAAGAAAAAATTTCACCACCAAACATTGTATTTTCCTTCTATTATTCTCACTCCTTGTGATATGACCCTGGGGTGTATAATATCAAAGTCACGCAGCTAACGACTCAATCAAAGGATCGATTGAGCTTGAATAAAAAACGAAACGTTCTTAATACGAACTTGGATAAAACGGAACCCAAAGTGCAATTCCACACCTGGGGAAAGGCTCGATTGGTATAATGATAGATGCCCGACCACGATTGAAGTGACTATTCAATGGATACAGAGCTCAAAGAGTTTGGAATCCCCCAAAGCTCACACAAGTACGCAAACTTGCAAAAACCCAAAGGTTTCAATTTAATTCATAAAAGTTTGAATTTTACAACGAAAAAGAACGGTATTTAAAGGCAAATAAAACCTAATACAATCCTAATAGAACTAGGAAACAATTAAGGTAAAAGACTGCACTTAATAGGACACAAAATTCGGATTTAAACTCTCTTTCTTCAAGTGCAAGTAAGCTGCCAGCAAATAGTCCAAAAACAATTTTCGTACTAACTTCGCGCCTTTTGTTCGAGGCCTTCCAGAACTTCAATCTTTCATCCAATTCCTTCCCTTGGTATATAAACATACCTATTTTCATTTTGTAGAAGCCTTTTGACTTGAGTTAGATCCATGCTCCGCAAATTGAGCTCCAAAGTAGGCTTCATGAACACAGATTTATACTTGACAATTTCCTGGCAGTTTTCCAGTTTTGAGGTAGCAAATTTGAGGCCTTGGAAAATAACCTGAATGACATCTTCTGGATCCAAAATGTATACCATTGGAAAGATGGCAACTTTATCTTCAAAACAAGACATTGATCTCCAATTTTCATTGAGCCATTTGTGAGATGCATGCTTCCAAAGTAGGTACCCTGAACACAAATTTTGACTTGGCCAAATTCTGCCCTCCTTCTTCCTAACTTCGATAGCTTCTTCATCAAGTAATTTAAGTGTGTATAGTTGACCATTCGGGATCATATCGCCTTGAAGAAAGGGTAACATTGTTATGTATGTTGTATGCAGCCTAATTGGTGTTATTTTTCAGAGTTTTTGAGTAGGGTTGATTTTGATTTGATTCGAGGATATATTTGATTTGTGCATTCATCTTGTATGATATTACTCTCCCATAGAGGAAAATGAGGTGATTTGACTTTTGAGTGGGTATCAATCCATGGCTTAATTTGTGTTTTCATTCTTTAAGTAATTTAATGTTTCATATATTTTCCACATTTTATTTCACAAACGATATTTTATCAGGTTGATACAATATATTAAACTACCATTTACATATTTGATATGATTTCAAATTTAAGGGGGAGCTATAGCCCCTCCTACCTTCAACCTAACTCCTCCACTGCTATGTTGTTTTACATATCTGTCAAACAGACGACGACTTCACCTGGATACGTGCATAGATGCACAATGACAAATGTCAAGATGGTAATAGTACAGTACTTTCTTAGAAAATTGATGGATCTACGATATTATCGAGCTATTGTACCCTAATCGGGGCCATTATCCATATATGTTATATTCCCCTATGTCTTCATCCACGATAAAAATGCCAGACACAAACACAAGTGACAAGCCCACAAAGACTAGCGAGTTTTGGCGTTGCCCTTTTGTGTGGCTTTCTAGCTGGTTTCAGGAGTACTATTATGTAACAACCGGTACTGCATCCCTTTGTGTGGTTTGAATGTATCATCCCTTTATCCTCGCACAAACGTCATCATCATTGATTGTTGTAATTTTCTCACCATGTGGATTGTACTCGCCTTTCAAGTAAATACATAAGCTTAACATCCATCATCCATGTTAAGCTTATGCATTTACTTCAATGAAAGTCTCGGTATATGTCTAGCTCGAATACTGCAAAATTCTACAATATTGTTAATATCCATGCTCATGTACGGACATGGAATCAATGCCATCACTCTCATCACTAGGTTTGAATTTCTAGTATTTTTTTTCTCCCGCCGGTTCCACCATTCGCAATCCCAGAGGAGGGAGCTTGTTGTTCGATTAGGACGAGGAGCCCAGAGCAGGGACAAAGACAGGGAGCTTGAAATCTCATTCATGTTCCATAGATCTTGCCACGAGGTGCTTGTTGTTCGGTCGAGAAGGGAAGATCGGGATGGCAAAAGTCGCCAAAGGAAAGCAGCAACGAAGGGTTCGAGAGAGGGTCGTCAGCGCTGGAGAAAGACGATAAGAATGGTCAATAATGTCTTTTTGGATTTTTTATTAATTAATTATTAATTTTTAATTGCCACATCAGACATTTAACGGTCAACTATTAGAGTTGACTGTCACATCATATAAAGTTAACGTAGAGTGACTAAACTTAAACTATTTTTACTAATTCAAATGATCAAAATTGATAATAATTTTTACCAGTGATTAAACATGATACATTTTAGTAAACCCAGATATAATCGTGACATTTACCCCAAATTTTTAGTGAAAACCTTATTCAAACCATAAGGAAAAGAGGATGAAAACGGGTCCAACTAAAAAACAGAAGAGTAAAAGCCAATACCTCATATTGCACTTCAGTTACCAGAGCTACTTGGGCTTTAGCTATTGATCCGGCCTATTGGGCTAATAAGGCTCTAATTAAGGCCTAAAACTACAGAGAGTCAGAGACATGTTGAACAAAAGCCCATGGGTTTGCAAAATAACGAAATGGCCCACCGGCTGTGCAAAGTGCAAACTACCTCTGGCGCCAGTCACTACCGCCGCCGCTGCCGTCTTCGTATGCTTCTTCTTCTTCCTCCTCCCTCTTCCCGTCGCAAACTCTCGTCTTCAACAAACGTATCCCATGATCGCGCCATTGCCAATTTTCCATCTCACCGGCGCCTGGTCATTCGGGCTCTGCTCATTATCCGATATATAAAATAATCTTATCAAAGTTTTTCCCGCCATGTCTTTCTCTTCAACTCCAGCTCGACTAACGCTGCTCGCTCTCCTTTCCGCCACCACCGTGTACTGCTTCTACAGGTCTCGCCGTCTCAAGCTACTCGAGCTCTCCACAAACGCTAACCCTAATCCCCGTTCCAATGGCGAACCTGCGGTTTCCATCAAGAGAGGGAAGCTCTTCTTCGTCTCCCAAACCGGGACTTCCAAAACCCTAGCTCGCCAGCTCCACGATCTCTTGAATTCGAACGGGCTCTCGTTCGAACTCGTCGACTTGAAAAGCTACGAGCCGGAGGATCTAGCTAAGGAGAGTCTGGTTCTGATTATTGCTTCCACTTGGGAAGACGGGAAGCCGCCGGCGGGTGCCGAATTCTTTGCTAATTGGCTCGCGGAGAGCGCCGATGATTTCAGAGTCGGGTCGCTGCTGCTTTCGAAATGCAGATTCGCGGTGTTTGGTGTTGGAAGCAGAGGTTATGGAGATTCCTTCAATGCGGTGGCTAGAGATTTTAGCAGACGGTTGAGAGGATTAGGTGGGAATGAGATTTTGCCAATTGGGGAAGGTGATGTTGATGGCGGGGCGCTGGATGGCGTTTTTGAGGAATGGAGCAGGGAGATTGTTAAGGCATTGAAGGTGAGTGGGTTGGAGAATGGGATCAGTGTTGAGCAGAGCTTCAATGGTGGTATTGGTGATGACTTCTACAGTGACGAAGATGATGATAATGAGGATGACATGGAATCGGTGGTCGTTGATTTAGAGGATATAGCAGGGAAAGCCCCATTTAGGAAATTAGGTGGTGCAACTGCTGAAACTAATGGGAAACTGAGTAATGGTCCTAAAGAAATGGTGACTCCTGTGATTAGAGCAAACTTGGAAAAACAGGTGAGATTTCTTTGAAAAGATTGCTTTTTTTACCTTGATTTAGCAGCTGTGAATGCTTTTGCTATCTAGCTTCTGGTTTCAGCTAGCTTTTTCCATTTGCAGGGTTACAAAATCCTTGGCTCGCATAGTGGTGTTAAGATCTGTAGATGGACTAAATCTCAGCTTAGAGGTCGTGGAGGTTGCTACAAGCATTCCTTCTATGGGATAGAGAGTCATAGGTATTGTGCATTTGCTAGTTGCAGTTTGAATTCCTTGTAGGGATTATTGTTTCTAATTTTTTTTATCTCTTCTTGATTCTCATTCTCGTCTTTAGAATGTATGGTTCTCTAAATTTGTTCTAAA